ACGATGGACAAAACCATAGTTGAAATGCATGGCAAGCATGTAGTAAATGTTAATTTCCCTCCCCCTTGGCTGTCCCAAAAGGATTTCTTTTCTTAGAGGAGGGCATCCATCTTTTTTCCATTTCAGAATTTTGTCATTTCCCCTTTATGTAGGGAGTGGGGTTTGGCACCAAGAAGCCAGGTTTGGCGCATCTTGTCAGGGTGGGAAATAATATTGAGGGACTGGAGGGAACTGAGAAGGAGCTGGTCATCTCTTCCTGCCTGTGTGGATTGGCTGCTGGTCTCTAGGGGACTCTCTGCCCCACCCTGCAGGATGGGATTTTTGTGGTCCTACCCTGGATCCTCGAGGCCATCCATGTGCTCTCCATCCAGGCCTCAGGGAAGCCAAACAGGAAATGAGCACTATCACGTGGGCAGCGCCCAGACCACCAGGCATGGGTCAGGGCTCAACTCTGCATTTGCGTGTGTGTAGGTACATGTGCATGGGCCTACCTGCTTCAGTTTGCATGTGTGTGTCCGTGCATGTATTTCTCACAGCTCCATAGGAGCCTGCTAGATGGCAGACAGGAAAGGAGTAGAGGAAGGATGTTTTCGAGGTCTGGGGAGTCAGGAGACCTCTGCCCCTGTCTCCTCACCCAGCCACGGGGGATTGGCCAAATGACCTCTTCTACTTTGATTCTGTAATGAACCATGGAACTGGCTCCCATTTGGCTGCCAGTCACCTCATCTGGGCATCCAGGCTGCAGGTCAGCTTTATGGTCCCAAGGGTGGCCTGGCTCCAGAGCTAAGGAGGTCAGCCTGATGATAATCTGTGCAGACCCCAGTCTCTGAGTGCAGAGCCACAGGTGGATCAGGAGCTGGGGGGCAGAGGTATGGGTAGAATGCTACTGAGGGGCAGCTGGGCAAAAGGCACCAAACATCACAGCTACCTGCAGGGAAGCCCCAGGCTGGCCCAGTAACCCGTCATGGAAGGCTGAGGTCCCTTGCTGCCTACCCAGCCATCTGGACTCCATTGTGCCCTCTCCCCATGCCAGTCCCTATAGCCATCACTCCAAGCACCGGTCTCCTCCTCATTCTCCCACAGGAACACATCTGCTCATTTTGTCCATCTGTGAAAATGTAAGTACAGTGCTGCCTAAGAATGACATGTGAGCCATCATCAGGCCTCAGCACAGCCCGTGGCACCAGGAGACTCTGTTACAGTGCCAATAACATGAATACGTGGGTCTTAGTGACTTGGCCTATTGTTACTAAGTGCACATGCCCTATATCCATATGTCTTCTTTGAGGGGCCTCCAGAAATGTCTGTGTCTTGTAATTTAGGATGCTGGGGCCCTAGTGCTAGGAGCAGTGCTGGGGGAAGGCCACTCTTTGATTTTTACTGTGGAGCTGTAAGACCTGATCTTCCCCTAAACTCCAGGATTGGTTGTAGCCCCAGATTCTGATTTCAGAAAGATGCTAGACTATTGGAATAGTCCTAGTGTATACCCTTGAAAAGACTTTCTCTAACACTTTAAAGCTTAATTCTCTGAATTACAAATTCATATGATTTTTCTTGTGTTTCTTTTTTTCTTTTCTTTTTCTTTTTGTAGCTCTAGTGTCTAGCAGAGTACCTGGCAGGTAGTAGGAGCTTAATAGATGTATGTTGAATGAATGAAGTATAGATTCCTGTTAGATCTTATCAGTCATGTTTACCCTAGTATAAAGGAGTGTTCAATCTTTCCCAGTAAATAAGCACATGGCAAGGCTGGACAGGTGACTGAATAGAGCTCTTGTCAGTTTGGGAGCTGTTCTACACCAGCCCTACTGACTCCTCCAATCAGGGCATGCCAATTTTATATGACTTGCTTCCAGCCACCTTCAGGAGCCCATACAAGGTGGGCACAAGTGGCCTGGCTCTGAGAGTTCAGAAAATAAAGATGTCCCTAAGCTGTTGGTCTCTTGGTCCCTTTGGGTTCTGTCCTAGGAGTCTATACATAGTCGAAATACACTGTCCCTCCTGTGAACAGCCTCAGAAATGGGGCAGCTGCTGTCACTGGGCTCCTCATAGGAATCTGGAAGGTCTGTGGAAGTTTCTCTGGTGATGTGACATAGTGCCCACATTGGGAAAAATGGTTATTGGTTGCTGGAATGTTTCCTACAGAACCCTGGGAGACAGAGGGAGGAAGAAGAGCAAGCAGGAGCTTGTCCCACTCTGCCCAGGGAATTTCTCTCCCTGTCTCTTCGAAAGAATGAACAAAGGCTGATAATCCCGTTAGCCCCTAAAGACATGAGGAAAATTGCCATATGGCCTGCCCTGCTCAGCGTGAAGCGGAAACTTGGCAAATGAGATGCCCAGACTTAGAGACCCTTAGACCTTGAAGGGACCCCTGAGAGCATCTGTTCTAGCCTCCTCATTTTAGAAGTATGTCACTTAATTTTCAAACAGCCGGGGATTTTCTTGTTATCTTTTTGTTATTGATTTTAGCTTAATTCTACTGTGGTCGGAGAACATACTCTGTATGGTTTCACTTCTTTGGATTGTGTCAAGACTTGCTTTGTGGCCCCATGGATGATCAATTTTGGTACATGTAAAACTTTGGTAAACTTAGAGAAATGTGTGTCTTACTGTTGTTGGGTGCAACATTCATTGTAAGTTAATTAGATCAAGTTACATATTATAGTGTTCAAATCTGGGATATTTTTGTGATTTTTCCTGTTTGTTCTATCAGTTACTGAGAGGCATATTAAACCTTCCATCATGACTCTAGAGTGCATACATATTTTTAAATTCTGCCAAGTTTTGCTTCATATTTTTGAAGTCGTGCTATGAAATGCAATTGAATTTAGAATTGCTGTGGCCTCCTGGTGGACTGAATTTTTATCATATTAGTTGTTCCTCTTTATCTCTAGTAATGCTTCTTGCCTCAAAGTTTACTTTGTCTGGTATTAGTTCAGCTCCCCTGTTTTCCTTAGGTTTAGACTTATATGGCATATCTTTTTTTCCTTCCTTCATTTGACCTACTTGTACCCTGATATTTAAGGTGTGTTTTTAAAAGCAGTATATTGTTGGGTTTTTTTTTTTATTTTTTTTCAACGTTTATTTATTTTTGGGACAGAGGGAGACAGAGCATGAACAGGGGAGGGGCAGAGAGAGGGAGACATAGAATCGGAAACAGGCTCCAGGCTCTGAGCCATCAGCCCAGAGCCCGACGCGGGGCTCGAACTCACGGACCGCGAGATCGTGACCTGGCTGAAGTCGGACGCTTAACCGACTGCGCCACCCAGGCGCCCCAGTATATTGTTGGGTTTTATGATAATTTCTGTCTTTTGATTGACCTATTAGGCCATTTACATTTCATATAATTATTGATTCAGTGGGTTTAATTTTACCATCTTACTTTTCTTATTTCTTTTGTCCCATCTGTTCTGTAGTCCTTTTTCTTTTTTTTCCTGCCTTCTGTTAGATAAATCAACTATTTTGAACATTTTTGTATTTTAAAATTTTTATTGAAGTGAAATTAATGTAACATAAAATTAAGCACTTTAAAGTTAACTTAGTACATTCACAATGTTGTGCAACCACCATTCCTCTCTCTCTAGTTCCAAAACATTCTCATCACCTCCAAAGGAAACCCCATGCCCCTTAAGCAGTCACTGCCCATTTTCCCCTCCCCTCTTCCCTAGTTAAGACGAATGTGCATTCTGTCTCCATAGATTATGGATAAATCAAATACCTTTTTTTTTTATCATTCTCTTTTCTCTTCTATTAGCTTGTTATTATGCATTCTCTTAGTGGTTACCTCAGGTTATAACGCACATCTATGACTTATTAGATTTTACTTCAAATTAGAACTTTTATAGCTTCCAGGGCAAGGGAACTGTTTTAGACACATTCCAATTTTTGTCTCCTCAACCTTGTGCAGCTGCTGAGAGCCAAGGTTAGCTCACTAAACTCTTAGGTTCCTCTTTCTACTTGGCTTTGTATCCACTCGCCTTGAACTATGAATCAGCAAGAACGTTATGGGACAAAGTTCTGGCAGAGCATTCAACTCAATCACTTCACTTGGTTTTCTTCTCTCTGAGATTCTGTTTCCTCAAGTCCTGCCTGCCAAAGTCTCTCTCCAACATCTTTTACTTTCTCCCTCCCTCCCTCCCTCCCTCCCTCCTTCCTCTCATTCTTTCTTTGTTTCTTTCTTTGTTTCTTTGTTTTTCTTTCTTTATTCCTTTCTTTCTTTCTTTTCCTTCCTTCCTTCCTTCCTTCCTTCCTTCCTTCCTTCCTTCCTTCCTTGCCTTTTGTATCTCATCTAGCTTTTTGAGATGTTCTCAGTGGGAGGGTTGGTTACAAGTTACTCCGCCTTTCTCAGGAACAGAAATCTGGCTCCCTCACTTTATAGCAAGGAAGCAGAGGTCTGGAGGGGAAGTGGTTGTCTAGTTTCATCCTGCTAATTAAGGCAGAGCTGAAATTAGAAATCAGGTCTCCTGATACCCATTCCAGTGCTGTTTCCACTAGAGCATGTTGGGCAACAAGATGATCTTAGTCTATCAAACACTCACCCAAGCCATAATTCATTTATTAAACAAATATTTTTGAAGGTCTTGCTCTGTGCCAAGCATTGGGCAAATAAACGTGTCTTTTTTTTTTCCTGACTGCTTTTGAGATATTCTCTTTGTCTTGTTTTTCAGAAGTTTTATTATGATATGTGTAGGTGTGGTCTTCTTTGTATTTACTTTACTTAGAGATTATATACCTTCTTAAATCTATAGCTTGAGGTTTTTCATCCATTTTGGAAACATCTCAACAATTATGTCTCAAATATCTTATCTGCTTCATGCTTTTCTCCCTCTTGTTTGGAGACTCCAGTTACATGTATGCAATACTTTCAGGAATTATATACAACCTTGGTAGGGGGTGTGGATCAGGCAGGTCTATTATTTAAGAAATAGGTTTAGCTCCCTGTTGCAGAGACATAGAATAACAGTGGCTTAAATAAAATCATTTGTTTCTCTTTTATTTAATAGGCTGGAGGTAGGCATTCTAGTTTTCCAGCAGTGGCTCTGCTCCTCAGTTGTTGACCTCATCTGCCTGAACCAGTATGGCTTTCACTACATCTTTGCTCCAGTCAGATGGATGGAAGAAGTGGGTAAGAAGTTTCTCCTCAGAGTTCCTCCCTGGAGGTGGTCTACCTCACTTTATTTCACATCCTATTGACTGAAATTTGGTCAGTTTGCCACAACTAACTGCAAGGAGTGGGGGCAGGGAAATGTAATCTTTATTCTGGGAGGTCATTTCTTATGCTAAGATTTAGAGAGTCTATTGCTTTGAGACAAAAGAAGATACTAAATACTGGGGGACAATTAGCAGCCTCTTCCACAGAAATGAATCATAATACAAGGCAACAGGTTCCAAACTAAGGCCTCAGAGGAAGAAGTTGGAAAAAGTGTCATAAAAGAAGTAACATCTGACTCGGCATTGAAGGGTGAATAGGAGTTTACTGAGGGAAAAAATGATCAAATGACACTCCAGACAGGAATACTGGCAGAAGCACTTGATTCTTGAGAGCAGAGCTCACATATCTTTTTTTGTCTTTCTAACCCCAGTGACTGGTACATAACATCTTACTATGTCGATATTGTCAAATGGAATCAATTGTGAGGGCAGAAGGAGAGGGAGTGTTTCCACTCTGGAGACTGGAGGCCTTGTGGAGCTGGAAAGGCAGTCATTAGCATCATCATGGGGATGGAAGAGGATTCATGCCACTCTACATACATTGAGATCTAAGGTGGAAACAAGCATGCTAAGTTGAAATTGCCCTGGGAGACAGCTTGGGCAGCAGTGGGGACTGGAGATGTGGTGTGGGGGTTGTCCTTGGGTGAGTGACAACTGAGGCTATTTTGAGAGGCTACTGTCTTCTAAGGAGAAAATGTATTGAGAATAAAAAGGCTAGGCAAGGACTGAACCTCTGTAATGAAGGAAAAGAAAGAGGAAGCAGAAAGGCCGGCTGTGCAGGGCAGGCTGTACTCGAGAGCTTTCAGAGGCCTCTTTCCTCTCTGAGGGGCTCCCCGACTCTTCCAGACTGTCCACTCCCCTGGACCTGGCCCACCACCTTTCTGTGACTTGTTCTTCCCTTGATGCCTGCTAGCTTTCAATTAATGACTAATTCAATTTCATGTTCATTAAACTTTCATCAGATAATTATATTTCATCCATAAAAGGATTTGAGGCAGCATTCTAGCTTAATTTTTATCATACAAGTAATCCATATTCACTGTTAAAAGTATCAGAAAATATAATTAAACAAAAGAAAGGATATTAAAATCACCCATGATCCCTCCACCTAGATTGTTAGCATTTGGTACATATGTGTTCAGATTTATCTATGCTCTCTCCTTCACTAATAGTATTAGTATCAATAAGTGCTAATCTTAAAAAATTTTTTTTCTATCTCAGAAGAGAGTGAGCACACACAAACCAGTGGGGGAGAGGGGTAGAAGGGGAGAGGGGGAAAGAGGCAGAGGAGAGAGAGAGAGAGAGAGAGAGAGAGAAAGGGAGAGAATCTTAAGCAGGCTCCACACTCAGCACAGAGCCCAACATGGGGCTCGATCCCACAACCCTGGGATCATGACCTGAACTGAAATCCAGAGTCCAACTCAACCAACTGAGCCACCCAGGTGCCACAACAATTGGTTATATTTTTGAGCCGTATGTTCCAGCCACCGTTATGTTTGCTATCTGTATTACATTGTTTAAACCTCATAGCGGCCTATGACATAGTTATTACTACTATCCTAATATTATATAGATAAGGAAACTGAAGCACAGAGGTTTGAAATTTACCCAGAGTGTGTTATTATTTTTTTAAATATAGTTGACACACAATATTACATTAGTTTCATGTGTGCAATTTAGTGATTTGACAAGTTTGTATATTAGATTATGTTCACCATAAGTGTAGCTACCGTCTATCTTATTACATCACTATTACAGTATCGTTAACTGTATTCCTTATGCTCTGCTTTTTATTCCTGTGACTTACTCATTCCATAGCTGGAGGCCTGTATCTCCCACTGCCCTTCACCCATTTTGCCCATCTCTGTACCACTATCTCTTCTGGCAACCATCGGTTTGTTCTCTGTATTTATAGTTCTGATTCTGCTTTTTGTTTGTGTATTCATTTTTAGATTCCATTTATGAGTGAAATCACCTGATCTTTGTCTTTCTCAATCTGACTTATTTCACTTAGCATTATACCTTTTGGGTCCATCCATCTTTTCTCAAATGGCATGATCTCATCCTTTTTTATGGCTGTGTAATATTCCATCGCGTGCACACACACACACACACACACGTGTGTGTGTGTGTGTGTGTGTGTGTGTGTGTGTGTGTGTGTGTACATTTTCCTTATCCAGTCGCCTATTGATGTCTTTTATGTCTTGGCTATTGTAAATAATCCTGTAATAAATGTAAAGATGCATGTATCTTTTCAAGTGTTTTTGGTTTCCCTGGGTTAATACTCAGTAATTGAATTATTGGATCACATAGTATTTTTTTAATGTTTATTTATTTATTTTGAGAGAGAGAGAGCATGCAAACAGGGGGAGGGGCAGACAGAGGAGAGAGAGAATCCCAAGCAGGCTCCACACTAATACTCCAGACCCTGACATGGGGCTTGACCCCACAAACCATGAGATCATGGTTTGAGCTGAAATCAAGAATCAGTCGCTCAACTGACTGAGCTACATGGTATTTCTAATTTTTTAAGTTTATTTATTTATTTTTATTGAGAGAGAGAGAGAGAGAGAGAGCGAGCAGGGAAGGGGCAGAGAGAGAGAGAGAGAGAAAGAGAGAGAGAGAGACTATCCCAAGCAGGCTACATACTGTCAGCTGAGAGGCCAATGCAGGGCTTGATCTCATGAACCGTGAGATCATGATGTGAACCAAAATCAATAGTTGGATACTTAACCGACTGAGACACCCAAGCGCCCCCATGGTATTTCTATTTTTAATTTTTTGAGAAACCTCCATAATGTTTTCCATAGTGGCTGTGCCAATTTATATTCCCACCAACAGTGATGAGCATTCCTTTTTCTCCACATCCTTGCTAACATTGGTATTTCTTGTCTTCCTGATTTTAGTTATTCTAACAGGCATGAGGTAATATCTCATTGTCGTTTTGAGTTGCATTTCCCTGATGATTAGTGATCATCATGTGCCTGTTGGTCATCTGTATATCTTCTTTGGAAAAATGTCTATTCAGATCCTTAGCCCATTTTTTAATTGGATTGTTTGGTTTTTTTGGTGTTGAGTTGTATGAATTATTTATGTATTTTGGATATTAACCTCTTGTCAGATATATCATTTGCAAATATCTTCTGCCAGTCAGTAGGTTGCCTTTTTGTTTGGTTGATGGTTTCCTTTGCTGTGCAGAAGCTTTTTACTTTAATGTTGTTTTAGGAGACGTATCTAGAAAAATGTTGCTATGGCTAATGTCAGATAAATTACTGCCTGTGTTCTCTTCCAACACTTTTATGGCTTCAGGTCTCAGGTTTAGGTCTTTAGTCCATTTTGAGTTATTTTTGTATGTGGGGTTAGACAGTAGTTCACTTTCATTCTTTTGCATGTAGCTGTCCATTTTTCCCAGCACCATTTATTAAAAAGACTGTCTTTCTCCCCATTATATATTCTTGCCTACTTTGCCATAGGATTAGTTGAACATATAAATGTGGGTTTATTTCTGGGATCTCTATCCTATTCTGTTGATCTATATGTCTCTAACTAGTATATTATTCTAACCTATGGTAATACCAGTTTGTTTTTTGACTTCTGATTATGAAAAATTTTCAAATTTATAGGTAAGCAGAGGGAATAGAATGATGAAGTACTGTGCAGCCAACACCCAGCTTCAACAGCCATCAATTCATTAATTACCCATTCTCCTAGCCAGCTCTACCACAATTATTCTAAAGTGAATCCCATCCATCACACCATTTCATCCACAATGCATAGCTCCATAAACAAAGGCCCTTTTAAAATGTAACCACAGTCCTGTTAGCACTACCTGTCCAAGTGAGCAACTCCCTAACATCATCACTTTCTAATAGTGATGATCTAATCTCCCCAGTTTTCTCATAAATATTTCCTCACTGTTTATTTAAATCAGGATCACACATGCTCCTTCATAGTGTTGGGGCTGGAGTTCACACCCAGATTGGTCTAGCCCCAAACCCATGCTCTTTCCAAACACCAAATTCACATTATGAATTGAAAAATCTGTGTGGTTTATACTACATTTAACTTAGACATATGTATATATACAACAATTTGTTGAGTTTTAGGTATTAATTAAGGCAGTAAAGCTAAGGTATTAATTTGTAATTTCCTCTTTACTAAGGAATTGGTGGAAAACCTCTATAATCTGCCAAGTTTCTCTTCTTATGTCCTGCAGGTATTTTGCTCTCTAAGGAGTTTTCTACTATATTTTTGTCTCACAATTTATTGTTCTGAGATTGTTATTTCCATATACAAAGATCTTTGTTGTTATTTTCATTCATCTATCCATTCATCCAACAAATTAATTGAGTATCTATTATTTGCCAGAGACTGTGACTGATAGATATGGGCCCGATTCCTGTGGACCTATATTCATTCATATGCGGGAGAGAGACAAACCAAAAGCAAATGGACAAATTATTACAACAATTTTAAATTGTGATGAATACCATGTAAAAGCAGCAAGGAGTGAATGTAGAGAAGAATGGTAGAAATTACTATCAGAAATGATTTGCTTTTACTTGCTCAAAGTTCTTTTTAAGTGCATCCTCCATTATTGGTATTTACAAGAGATTGCATCTTTAAATATGCTTTTTGCTAACTGCTTGTTGCTTGGTATCTGTTAATCTCCAGTAGCTTCCTTTTCTTTATTTGTGACGTTGCCATTTTGCTCCTCCACCTCTTTAATGTGTGCCATGTTCTGCTGACAATGTGATAGTGGTGGGACTTGGCACTTGGTTTGTTTGGTGAAAAGAGGAACTTCCATTCTGAGTTTAAGCAGAAGAGATCTCCCATTAGGCAGAAACATGGTTATCATAATGCCAGTTAGATCACTCTTCTGGGTGCTGTTGTTCTGTCCATGAAAATGTTTTT